GAACTGTTCTGGAACAGTGTTGTAAATACAACTTAACCACTGATTTCTAGGCGTGTCCTCTTTTGGAAGACCAAACAAAGTAGTTTGGCTTTCGCAAACAAAACACACAGCGTCTCCACGATATGGCGGTGGCAACAATACTACAGCGAGAATAAAAGTTACGCCTAATTTCTTTGCGTATACTTTTGGGCGGTGTTATGCAAATCTTCCCACACAGTGATGTAGACATGTGGGGGCGTGTTTAAACGAGGTGTTTTAGGAAGATGTAGCTGAGCGTTCACTTTTATAAAGAATATCTCTTTGGGTTTAAGACTTTAATCTTTGCGACTTTACGGATCTTCTGTATGCACGAACAGCTTTTAACACTCCAAAGACAAAGGAAAACATGAAATTGCATCATATGACCCCTTTAAAATATGCTTCACACTAGGAAAAATAGTGTTCTTGTTTAAACACTGGCATTCTTCTGTGGCATCACAAAACCCCCCTTTTGGTACCTTTATTTTTTAGAGTGCAAGATGAACATGCTAAAACAGATACTGCATGTGATATTCAAATGAAAGTCCATTTTCCCAATTGCTGTAATTGTTGGGACTGCAGTGGATAATGATGTAAACTAGAGCAGAAAGCACTTGCCATAAAGCAGCAGATTTGAATACCCTAATTACTGTACTGCCATTTTCAGCACAAGCACCATAATCAGGCCACAGCAGGACAGACATCCAAATGTGTGCTTAAAATCGAGAGGCTGAATGGCTGGAATAATGGGCATGCCATTATCTCAATATAAACACGAGGCGAGCAACCAAAACAAATGAGCTTTGAGTGCTTTCCTATTCATCTGTTCTTCACAGAGTATCAGGATAAGCCCTCAGGAGCCCGATAAATTCGTGTATCCATTCTGCTTAAGATAGTAGTAGTGATTCAGCTTTCTAAAGACAAAACGCCAGCCGAGAGAGTTGCTACATGTCTGTCTTTACATACGCCCTCATTTATAGTAATATATTTGTACGGCAGCGAGTGAGTGTGTGCATATATACGTGCGTGTGCCGTCTCCCATCACAGTGGTGTGGACATGTAGATGCCTGTTTTCAAATGCTCCACAGGCCTGATGTTGTTGAGATAATCTGCTGAAAACTGATCCTCTCCACACTATCGCCTGCAGAGGAACGTGTGGGCACATCAGCCCCCAACATCAGGAGCCTTGTCTGTCGCTACAGCAACCGCAAAAAGCCTTCCATTACCGCTACAGCATTCGCAAGAGTTTCTGCCAGACGCCGCTTCTGATAACAAGACGGCAAAATGTGTACAATGCACTCTCTCAATCAGATGTGTCCATCTGTGCAAAAGAATGTTTACACGGACGGTCTGAAACAACAAGACTTGTCATGCATTAGTGAAATACCAAAAAGTGGCTGAGGGTTTGAGAAAAAAACATGTGATGTTTATACTGTATCTTGTAATCACTCTACCGTGATAGATTGTTCTTTGAGCTGTGTGAGGTGGTGGTATTGAGGGAAGCCTGTCTCTTTAAGAGCCAGTCCTTGAGCAGGTTGGCTTGTTGAGTGGGGAGGTGTAACCTTGTCTGCTTCTACAAACAAGCATTTCTATCAACAAAACGTGTCTCACCAGCGGGCTGATCTTGAGGGTGTGCATATATACGAGACTGAATAGTGAAGTCGTGCTCGATTTTCTTTTACGTTACTTCCTAATGGTGTATGTGTGATATGTGAGTCCCACTTTATTAGTTTGCAACACTCTGCTGGAGGGGCCACCAACAGCTCAGGTGTGTCACGTCTATTTGTCAGTAAGTGTGTTTATCTTTTTTTTCATCGTTAAGTAGAGTTCAATTGTTCTGTAGCATTTCAAATAACGCCATTTCAAAGAGCTTGGTTGTGCAGCACCTTCTGAACTCTGTAACTTTAAAAAAAATGAGTATCTTGTTGTAATTTAAGGAGGCATTTCTGTAAAAGGCTATACCAGATTTTCAGAAATACACTCTGGTCAAACTCAGGCTCCTAAACTTGTGAATTAAAATCGGACTATTTACACAACAGCAGGAAAGTGTTTGTGTTCGCACATCATTTGAGATTGAAATGGTGTGGGAATACAGATTTACTGTTATTCTGAGGTAGATTCTGGTTAAAGGAACCACGTGCCAATTAAGTTTCCATGGAAGCTTCCTGGTAAATAATGGACTTTTAAGTACATATGCTCAGATTTTTGTACATTACTTACTGTAAGTGTATTTTGTGCTCCAGTGTACATCCAAGTTCTGAAGTCTGTCACTAATTCTTTATTGCTTATAGCCTTTTTAGAGAAGTGTCCCGTACAGTATAGGCACAAAATATGAAAGCGTGTACATTCAAATTTTCTAAAATGTGCTTTATTAATATACAGCATCTGAGAAGTTTTCCTCAGAGTAAATATGTTTTCCTAGGAGGAAAAGACTGGCAAAATGAATTCTTACTCTAATTTCTGATTTGATGAGCCACAATATAAAATGCTGTTGCGCTGTGAGTGCACTTTTTAGATAATATAAGTTACTATGTTATTATTTCCATTAAAAACACTAAGGAAGAAATTCTGAAGAATCTTTATGCTGCTTCTTCCCACTCAATGACCATTTATAGTGTCAAGCTCCAGAATGATACCATAAAACATCAGATCGTGCCCTTCACTACAGCTCTCAAGTCTCATTCTCCATGTATTCCCAATAGTATCCCATTAAGTTGAACTGCTATGTTGTGTCCGGTTACAAAACACACAAGAACAATTGTTTTTTTGGGATCAGTGATGTTGAATCATTGAGACTACTGTAACATGCTATTCTCAGCTTTCCCTACAAAGCTTTTCCCAAATTCATTCCCATTGCAAAAGCACTCCATTAATGAATCATTTCGCAATCTGGCCGGTTTTGTAGTCTAAAATGTAAGTTTTGTTGGAGTGGAAGTGAATAATGAATTGAACGTCAGTCAGTTCCTCACAAATCTGCCTTTTTGACTGTAATATTGCATACAGCTTTTGATACTTTTTTTTTAAATCATGATGATTAATTTTTTGTAATGCTTGGAGCTTGACAAAGCTACTAACAGATTCTTTATAATTCCTTTTTCGGTATTCCATGGAAGCAGGAAAAGTCAAGAGTGTGAGTAAATAATGACAGAATTATCATTTTAACACATTTCTGGTACCGCTATCTTAAAAGTAGTTTTAAATTTTGCATCATGCCAAAGAACACCCTTTACCTTAATCACTGTAACACACAGCCTCATGTGGCTTATTGCTTTAACATCAATTAGAAAGAGAAAACTACTTATCAGAGGAACACAGCCGTCACACCTCAGTTGTTGTCAGACACCTTTGTGTATTTAGTAGATGTTATTAGACGCTTTAATAACAGCTCCACCAGAAAAAAAGAAGAAAAAAAACGCATTTAATCATCAAAATGAATAAAAAGCATGATACAAACACTGAATATTATGCAAACAAATATTGTGTATAGGACTTTCTTCTTTCAGACGAATAAAATCGGAGTTATATTAAAAAGTGTCCTGGCTCTTCCGAGCTTTATAATGGCAGTGAATGGTGGTCAAGGTTTTGAAGCCCAAAATAAAGTGTATCCATCCATCATAAAAAGTACTCCACACGGCTCCGGGGGGTTAATAAAGGCTTCTCCAAAATGTTCTTTTTATGAGAAGATAATAATTCATACCTGAATCATTTTGCTTTTTTGCTTCATGTTAAGAGTGAAAGGGCCTTCAGTTGTAGGACTGTAGGCTATTTTAACTATATCTGTTATAATGAATCGCTGGATGATTCATTGAATTTTGATGTTTTGTGAAAGATGGACCATAAAAAAATGAAGACCATTTCCTTGGATAATTGCCAATGTGTCTAATGGCATAAAAGGCTTCTGACTGTATTTTTCACATCTGATGTGACATATTAATTAAACACGGCTGGAAATAGCACCTTCGACAATCACAGAGTGAGTGCTCGAGAAATAAAGTAATGTTCAGATATAGCTCACTTGCTTGCTTTCACTGCCAGGTGTCTGCGCATGAGACCAGCCAGAATGCAAAAGTGATCATTGACATGGCATCCCCACAAGGACTGTAGATGGAGGCTTCCTATTGTGAAATGCTACAGAGCCTCCTATCATGGAAATGGACCTCTTCTCGGTTTTCCCGTTCAAAGCTTTTCCTCATATTCATTTCCATTAGTGGTTGCAAGAGTGCTCCATGAATCTATGGGAAGCAATAAAAAAGATGCATCTTGCAATTTTGTCATCTAGATGTGTGATTTTTGACTTCACTGAGGTCATTTGCAAAGCAGATATTACAAAATATCTCAATGATCCATTGCTTGTTATGATTCAGATTTTTAAGAATCCTCCTTTTAGTACAATATATTGCTGTTTGTGCGTGTAAACGATCTGAAAAGTTATGTCCATGGCAAAGGAAGTTCATCTCTCTAGTAGAAAACACTTGCCTTGACTTCTTGAAGGGATACAGCTACGGACAGATTGTCCTACTGGGCATGCACACATCAATATTGTGATTTACTGTATTTGCATTATTGTAAGGTTAAGTTTAGGGTCGGGGTAGGTGTAGACATAAATAAAACACAATCTAATTGGTAGCAAATGTAATTTTATTGTTATCTCATGGCAATTCGTACATTATTTTACCAGGTGGCTAATTCGTACGACCTCTACGAATTTGCCACCTCGTAAAATAAAAAACGTATTTTATGACGTGGCAAATTCGTAGGAATTCATACAAAGGACCACCCCTGACCCCGCCCCTAAACGTACCCCTCACAGAAATCATACACAGGCCCTGTCCCAAATCACACCCTAAACCCTTGCGGTCTTCCTCGGAGTCCACGCTTTCGTGACGTAATGCCGCTTTGACTGTCGGGTAGAAATCTACTGTGGAGCTTGCCTCAGTGCGGGCTCGGCAGAAGTGCACATCGAGGGTGCATAGCGGCCGCAAATGGGGCGCTTCCGAGCACCCTTCTGAAAGCTAAAATGACGAATAGGACACCCTACTGTCTTGAGGACTTAAAGGACATGCAGATTGCCATTGTAAGACCGCAAGTGCACATGAAGTGTGCCATTTGGGACAGGGCCAAAATCGTACGAGTGAGGTCATACGGATTCGTAAGAATTAGCCACCTCGTAAAATACGTACGAATTAGTCGTGAGATAGCGTTGTTATTTCCGTGCCTTAGCTACACCATCATGTTACACATTTGCATAATGCCTGTCTATTGGCTGCTTTGGTCCACCTTCTAAGGACAGTTGGGTGAATGATTTTGTCATGACATGACAAGTAGACGTAAGTTTATACGGCATATAATACTGTTTTCAGCTGCACATGAAGTCTCAGGAGCTGAAACCTGATTATGGTAAGAGTTGCAACATTTCCGACACACATTTTAAGTGGCTGACCAATCACAACAGACTAGGCCAACAGACCAATCAGAGCAGACCGGGCTTTTCAGAAAGACAGGCTTTGGATGAAACGGTTAACGGTTTGACGGTAAACCTCGATAAAAAGTCCCGACAGTTAGTATTACCGTTTCATATTTCGCTGTCTCATGAAGCGTAGGTTTTGTTTTGTGTGCAAACATGATGGAAGGCACGGTGCAGAGAGAAAATATGAAATAAAGTATGTATGTATGAATGAATGAATAAGATGACTGCATAAGGGGGAACCGACTGTCTTCAAAAAAGTTTCCATGGCATTTGCTTTTCATTTTCTCTCCGTGTATCGCCTAATAATGCAGTGTTTATATGCGCAGCGATGCTTTGTTTATAGCGGTTACTGTGGAAACGGCTCTATTTCTGCTGTTCCATAAGTGCCACCTGCTGGCAGACAGTGGAATTACATTCTCATTCAGCCTGTCTGCCGTTTTGGTTCATGAAAGACAGGCTTTGGATGAAACGGTTAACGGTTTGACGGTAAACCCTCGATAAAAAGTCCCGACAGTTAGTATTACCGTTTCATATTTCGCTGTCTCATGAAGCGTAGGTTTTGTTTTGTGTGCAAACATGATGGAAGGCACGGTGCAGAGAGAAAATATGAAATAAAGTATGTATGTATGAATGAATGAATAAGATGACTGCATAAGGGGGAACCGACTGTCTTCAAAAAAGTTTCCATGGCATTTGCTTTTCATTTTCTCTCCGTGTATTGCCTAATAATGCAGTTTATATGTGCAGCAATGCTTTGTTTATAGCGGTTACTGTGGAAACGGCTCTATTTCTGCTGTTCCATAAGTGCCACCTGCTGGCAGACAGTGGAATTACATTCTCATTCAGCCTGTCTGCCGTTTCTGTTCATACCAAATATTTATTGTAAATCTTAACCGGTAGATGAAAGACAAGTTAATGCATTCTAAAAATCTCAACACTTTGGACAATAAGGTTGCTTTTGTAGAATTGTTTATGGAACAGATAAAATGCCTGTAACAGATATAAAGGCTGTTCATCAAGGCTGCATTTATTTGACCAAAAATACAGGAAAAAACGTAATATTGTAAAATATAATTACCATTTAAAATAATGGTTTTCTATTGTAATAATCTTGAAAATATCATGTATTCCTGTGATGCAAAGCTGAATTGTCAGCATCATTACTCCAGTCTTCAGTGTCACATGATCCTTCAGAAATCATTCTAATATGCTGATTTGTTATCAATGTTGGAAACTGGTGTTGCTTAATTTTATTTTATTTTAATTTTTTTGGAACCTGTGATACTTTTTTTCAGGATTCTTTTCAGAATTTAAAACATCCTTGCCAAACTTCTGAATGGTAGTGTATATTGTTACAAAAGATTTCTATTTTGAATAAATGCTGTTCTTTTTAACTTTTTATTCATCAAAGAATCCTGAAAAAAGTATCACCGATTCCAAAAAATACTAAGCAGCAAAACCGCTTACAAATCTTAACATTAATCAAAACATTACAAATCTTACTGATCCCAAACTTTTGAAAGACAGTGTGTGTGTATATGTATATATATATATATACACACATATACACAGGGATGCACATACGTTTTTCAGCCTGGTTCATATGAGAACCTGGAGATTTAGTTTGGTTTATATCAAATATAACTATAAAAAATAAATTAATAGTGATAATATTATTACAAATAATATATCATTTGAATCTTTATTATTATTTTTTAATTTGAATTATTTAAATTTTTCATTTTCAAACTTAAAATCAGCAAGCTTTTATTTGGACGGGTTGCCGGCAAGTAAGTATATGCGCTTCATGAAATGTCACAGTTTTGCATTGTGCTTTGAAAACGTTAGCGGGTAGCCTAGATTTATGCTTCGAGTTTGAATATAAATCTTATACAGTACAGTTTGTCGATCTAAAATGGTAATTGTGCATTAACAGCTGTCAACCACGTCGGTACGCAAACGCGCGCTCTGAACTAATTTACACAGCGCATTTCTTATTTTGGTCGCGCATGCGAACCTGCGGACCACTTATGTGCACCCCTGTATGTATGTATGTGTGTATATATATATATATATATATATTAAAATCTGGCCATTATTTTAATGTTTATGCAAACAAAAAGTGCATAGTGCTGCTAATTTAATTTTTTGTTTGTTGGTTTTCGACATAGTGTTTTTTCTGTCAGCGCTCGCCTCAGCAAAGTTGTGAGCTGTGCACTAACAGGGTGGTGAAGGAGTGGACTTGTAAATGTCCACCATGAAAGATTCACATAGTGCTTTTAATTAAGTATTAAGTTGAAATATTAAAAGTGTCTGTCGGCTGGTCCATGGTCAGGTGTTGCTCTGTTTGATGTTAGGGTAGAGTGAAAGTGCTCGGAGATCTTCATCCTGGGCTGTTGTGACTCATGGTGGAGGTTATGGGTTGGCCAACACCCAAGCATCCCTTGTTTTTAGTGCCTCATTTTTCTTTACTTTATATTTATATTCTGTAAATATATATTCATAATATATGTCATCAGCAACTGTCCAAAGGTTTGGGATTGAATGCATGAATGATAATTTCATGAATGTTAATGTGTTAATGTCTGGTTGTTTCAGATTGTCTGCACCATGAAACTCACTGTAGTTCTGCTGCTCTGTGGCTGTGGTGTGCTATTTAAACACAACTGTGAAGCCCAAGGTAAATACCTATTTATTTTCCACTACCAAATTACATTTCATACACTATTTATTTATTTTTTTACTGTATATTGCAGTAATTCAATATACATATAATAACTTCCAAGTTCCCAATATAAAACAAATCGTTTAAATATTTTATTTATTCTGAATAACTTTTCTACACATTCCAAATGCACTGCCTGAGCATACATTATTAAAGGGCACTGATAACAGAAATATCATTTTAGGCATTTTGATATTTTTGTTTGAATTTTTTTAATGAATTGAGTAAATGTGTAATGTAAGTTTTCTTTTGATTTCAACAAGTTTCTTTACAACTAATTTGCAATCATTTAACTGTATAATGTATGCTTATTAGATACTGATATTAACATCAGCCATTTAAAAATCCATATCAGTAAACCACTAGAGTATGAGCTGCTTTATTTGTATAGCGCTTTCACAACACACACCATTTTAAAGCCGCTTTACAAAAAATCATGATGCGAATGTTTATACTACCTTAATATTTTCATTCCTAGTACGTGCATTTAGCAGATTACAGCTGGAAGATAATATAGTTTACATTTTGCGGTGATATAAACAATCACAGAGCCAAGATTTGCTATATAGGCCTATTGCTTTACATGAGTGTATTATATGTATGTGGGTGAAACTGAACGTGTATATATCCATCTTTAGAATATATAGCTGGCTGATTATACTGTATAGTTGAAATTATGATAAACTATGATGATATAAACAATCAGGCGCTTGAGATTTGCTACACAGTATATTTCACTTTATGTGAGTGTACCAAATAATTGTTTATTTTTATTTATTTATTTTTTATAAAGACTTATGGTTGCACTTTATTTTACTGTATGTGTAACTACAATGTACTTACCTAAGAAAGTAATTGGTAATATACGGTAACTACATGAGTTAAGGTTAGGTTTAAGGGTAGGTTCAGGGTTAGTACCTAGTTAATACGTTGTTATTGTAATCACAATAATAAGTACATAGTATGTACATGCAGAAAAGGACTGTAAAATAAAGTGCTACCAGACTTTTCCTGGATTGATTTCACTGGGAGACACTGCATTTTTACTGTAAAATTACTGTGAAGTCATGGCAATAGTTTATAGTGTACGGTAATAATACTACCTAAGAAAGTAATTGGTAATATACGGTAACTACATGAGTTAAGGTTAGGTTTAAGGGTAGGTTCAGGGTTAGTACCTAGTTAATACGTTGTTATTGTTATCACAATAAGTACATAGTATGTACATGCAGAAAAGGACTGTAAAATAAAGTGCTACCAGACTTTTCCTGGATTGATTTCACTGGAAGACACTGCATTTTTACTGTAAAATTACTGTGAAGTCATGGCAATAGTTTATAGTGTACGGATATAATTGTATAAAATATCTGTTTAGCATGTGCAGCAGTGAAACTAGATATATGGCAAGTTAAGAGCAAAGCACACATCCAACATAGAGCATTTACGAAAGATAATGTTGGCACAAGCTAATCATAAGAATTGGCCATACGGGCTGTTAATTTCCTCAAACGGTTTCTACCAACTGTGCTGCAACAGGATCCTGGTGAGTAGATTACATCAAACTCCGCGTCAGAGGTCTTTGATGGTTCGTTGTGGCTGATCCGTCTCTCGAGTATTCAGCTGTGAAAATCCTGTCTGCTTAGAGAATGTGACAAGTCTGCGTCTCAGTTGTTGGGCGCAAGAGTTTGTGTCTTACACGTGTGCTGGGGGCAAAGGTCAATGCCTAAAGTCCTTCCTCTGTGCGTTTAAGCAAGGCAGAAGAACTGTCAGTTGTGCCTATTGGTCTGCTGTGGAAGATGGGGACAACCTGATCTGTGCATGTCTGCAAAGACTGATTATAGAGCAGGTCAGTGCTTAGCAGTTGTATGTATCGCACATTTGAAAATAACGTACAGTACACTGAAGTAAACCCAACCTAACGGATAGTGTTAACAAAAGCTAAAGTGAGATAAAAACACATTCTGTGCTTCTACAAGTTTTTGAGCTCTTTTATTGTGACTAGTGTTTCATGGGACTCGTACCCAAGCACTCGCAAGTGTAGTGCTGTACCAAGTGAGCTACTGAGCAAGTTTACTATGCGAGAAAAGCAATACATATGGAGCCGATTATATGACACAAACATCAAAATGTATTAGTTTACATATCTTGCACTATAGTAAAAACTGTTTTGAGGTCATAACATGGTATTGTGGAAGGAGCTGTGCAAAAATAAGTCTTCATAAATTGATAATTTGCCGCGTAAACATAATTTGAGTGAAAACGAATAAAAGTTGTTGGAGTTTTACTGCCACTATTGTTCATTTTAACTGGAAACTACATACTGAATTTTATGTACAGTGAATATATGTTTTTAGAGTTTTGAAAAAAATACTGTAGGTAGAGTCATGTTTTTCCAGTAAGCCTATGTTGCAGCCAACCCTAGTGCTCTAGAGCCTCACTGGATCATAATCCGTCCTCGCTTGTCTGTCCTGGCAAAATGTTTTTCTAGCAGTGCAAACGGCTGAGTGGATACTGAGGCTGAATGATCCTTCGGTTCACATGGATCTAGTTACCTCTTCCTCAGAAAGCCGGCCGGACAGTGTCTGAAGGAGCTATTTCACTCCACCTGCTCCCCAGTGAGATCTTACACTCCCCAAGCGTATATGCATGTGTGTCTATGTGGCCCATCTGGGGTTAAAACTGAAGGGAAACCCATACCTGCATGTTTCACTGGTACCAAAGGCTCTGAGCATGGCCACAGGGGTTCTGGACAGGAAATATAGGGTTTCATGGTAGGAATACATTTCGATCACTCTGGTTTTCACATGCAGTGTGCCCACGCACCGTGGTGTCTGTTTGAGGACCCCCATGAGGTGAACCACAAAGACTGGAGGATGGAGACAGCCACAACACCTGTCGCACTGCCATCATAAACTCAACCCTAGGAAACGCAGCCATTGTTAACAATTGAAATGATCACTATGGCCCATTGGTGGATCACACATTCTTCAGCATAAATCAATGCCCACTGAATCAGAGCATGACGGATCAAATCAGCAGGTGTCTGAGTGAATCTCATGAAACCTGTTAGGAACATGTCCAGGTCATATTTCACTCCAACATCAGGGACAATTTGGATTACAATCATTTTTTTTTGCATTGTGGCATTATTTTATGACAATTAAGCACATGGTCATAATTCTGCAGTTCATGCAAATAATATATATTTTTTGTTATTGCTGTAATAAAATAATTGTATTATATTGTTGTAGATTACAGTAGTATTTGTTAAGCTAGTAGGCCTATTTGTAAAGATTACTGTATGTATTGAGAATCTAATGAGAATCAATAAAAAAAATTAAACGGTAAAACATTAAATTATTATTTAGCAGATGCTTTCATCCAAAGTGACATACAAATGAGGGACATCACAAGCATTTTGTCACAGAGCACAGTCTCAACAATATTCATAGTATAGCACAATACCAGGTTTATTAGAAAGCGGGAAACGTGCTATAGAGTAGAGAAGAGATACTTAAGTGTCAATTTTTCAAAATTGAGATTCATACATCATCTGAAAGCTGAATAAATAAGCTTTCCATTGATGTATGGTTTGTTAGGATATTGGCCGAGATACAACTATTTGAAAATCTGGAGTCTGAGGGTGCAAAAAAATCAAAATATATTGAGAAAATCGCCTTTAAAGTTGTCCAAATGAAGTTCTTAGCAATGCATATTACGAATCAAAAATTAAGGGATAATATTTGGCTGAGATACAACTATTTGAAAATCTGGAATCTGAGGGTGCAAAAAAATCTAAATATTGAGAAAATCATCTTTAAAGTTGTTCAAATGAAGTTCTTAGCAATGCATATTACTAATCAAAAATTAAGTTTTGATATATTTACGGTAGGAAATTTACAAAATATCTTCTTGGAACATGATCTGTACTAAATATCCTAATGATTTTTGGCATAAAAGAAAATCTATAATTTTGACCCATACAATGTATTTTTGGCTATTGCTACAAATATACCCCAGCGACTTAAGACTGGTTTTGTGCTCCAGGGTCACAGATTATATATTCTTTAAACTTAAGTCAACAGTAATTTTCATGTACATCTTTTAATGTAAACTGTAAAAAAAGACAAAATCTGCACATCTAAAAAAGTTCTTTTAAGTAAGACTTTGATTATTTTTTTTCCTACTATTTGCTGGTTTTGGTTCCATACTCGTCTACCTTCTTCCGATATGTGTATCTCGGTTTCTTTCTTTTTACACTTTGCTAAAAAGAAATAATCTGTTTTATTTCAAATGAATCCGATTTTCCAGTGTGAGGATATTCTGGGAAATCTATTCTGTTTGTTTATTGCCTCAGTTCACTTGGTACACTGCTGTTCATACAGTATAATGCGTGTGGGACAGTGATGCAACATTTTGTCACACTGCACCGCTACTTAGAAAAAGTTAGAAATTTAGAAAACAACTGAGCTACTGTCACAATAGTGAATAATGTAATAAAGTTAGTAGCATGGCTTCTTTTAGTTGAAAATAATAGTTCAATATGAGTGTAAATGCTGTCAGTTTTTTGTTATATTACACTAAAAATTAGTTGTGAATTTAGCATACATTTAACAATGATGAATCATACAAAAACAAGTTGAACTGAATCATGACCCATTTGATTGCAAATATTTACACATGCTTCTGAATTGTGATGTAAGAGGCTGGCTGTGAGCGCCGGGTTTGGAGGCATGTAGGGGTTGGGCCCTGGGCGATGGTGAATTCTTGTGATGTTCGGGCAAAGCTCATACGGGCGGAGACATGAGCACATTCCTCTCCTCCCACCGCACACGCTCCCCTCGTGCCCATCACCACAGACACACGCGCTTCCTGGCCGTCCCCCAACACACACACATACACACCCTGCACTAACATCCACCGGAGCGCAAAACCCAATACTGGATGAGCACAGTCAAGAATGCTAAATCACTCGGTCAGGATAGTGATGATGGAGATCCGGGTGAATAATTTCCTGTAACACATCGTAAAACTTTTCATATTAAAGTACAAGTAGATTATTAAGGATGGAAAAAGAACAGGCATAAACTTTCCACTTTCCCGGTCAGAGGTCAGACTTTTATGAAAACATGCCACAATTTACCCCTAAAATAAATTACATTTTGCATTTAAGACCTTTTAATATTCTTTCTGTTTTCATAACACTTTATCCCTTCAGCATTTGTCCTCATTACTCTCAATAATGAATGTAATTAGATTCACATGAATGTTTTTACTGTATTACTCTTAAAATGACTTTATTCTGCCATAATGTGAAAAATGTGTTATTTCCTCACCCTCATGTTGTTCCAAACCTACATGAGTTTCTTTCATCTGTTGAGCACAAAAGAAGATAATTTGAAGAATGCTGGTAACCAAACAGTTGCTGGTAGCCATTGACTTCTATAGTATTTTTTTCCAATCTGTGGAAGTCAGTGGCTACCAAAAACAGTTTGCTTACCAACAATATATATTTTTTTGTGTTCAACAGATGAAAGAAACTCATACAGATTTGGAACAACATGAGGGTGAGGAAATGACACATTTTTCATCTTGTGGTGACCCGTCCCTTTAATTTTTCATTTGCTTTACTATCAGTTCTCCATCTTGGTCAGTCTGTCAAGGGTGAATACACTAACTTAATTTAAAATGTGAAGTACATTATGGCAGAATAAAGTCATTTTAAGAGTAATACAGTAAAAACATTCATGTGAATGCATGGACGGGTGGGCGGGGCGATTCTGTGACAAAGGTGATTAATTATTCATGGAAGATGCTTTTATCGATTAACATGACAGCACTGACTATTCTGCTAAAACAAATCCAATATGATTTCCAAGTATTTTAATATTTATCCAAGAAATAAATGACGGGCATGAAAAAGTTTTAGTTGCAACCCAGGCTCATTGAAAATACATGACTCTGCATACATTTCTGCAAAACCTGAAATACGTTGCTCTGGGCTGCACTTTTCAGTCACAAGAGCAACGTTTCTACTACGTTTCTATCATTTTAATATAGACCCTTAAAGCTTAAAGCTATATCAATTCTCCACTGCAGAAGCGGGTTTATTAAACAGCACAGCATCATGAAAAAACATGCCTATGTATACAAAGTGGTTGTGAAATGATATTGTGTTGCTTGTAGTAGCACGCTTCAAAGCAGTTTCAAAGCGAAATGTCCAGTTTGTTGCGCTAAATAGTGTTTTCTCTCCAAAACAGTTAAGCGTGACTGTGGCAATGCTTGTGTTTGTTGTATGTATCATGGCAGTTCAGAAATGAAATGTCCTAGAGCGGCGCTAAAAGGTTATTGATTTACATTTGAAATGAATTTACCAACTTGACTAAACCGTACTTTAAATCAAACCAGTAGTACTGTTAACAAAAGCGACTGTGAGATAAAAATACATTTTCTGAAGCAAACATGCCATTTTAGATTCGTTATACAAGGCTTGAGTTTTTTTTTTTTTGGAGTGTCGTGATTCATCTTTCACGGCATTTGCACCTCAATGCTCTGCATCACAAGTGCAGTGCTGTACCAGGTGAGCTACTGAGCAAGTTTACTATGTCAGAAAAGCCATAAATATGGAGCTGGATATGTGATGCAAACATGAAAATGTATTAGTTTACATATGAGTTTTGAGGTCATAACATAATATTGTGCAAGGAAGCGTGCAAAAATAAGCTTTTATTAATAGATAATCTGCCTCTGTAATCATTCAGTAAGCGGTGTGAAAAATAAATAAATAAATAAAACAAAAGTTGGTTTTACTGCCACTAGTGTTCATTTCATCTGGAAACTGCAGTGAAATTTATGTAAAGGTACGTTTTTCAGAAATGCAGCCAGAGTCACATATTTACAATGAGCATGGGTTGGTTATTTTAGTATTATTTATATACTAATATAGTATTTATTAAAATGTATGTAGTATTTATTAATTTATTAACTTTTTTTTGTATTTTTAGTTTTTTATTTTAATTTTAGTTTAAGATTTAATAATTTTGTTCTGTGCCTTTGTCCTTTATATTAGTTTTAAACTTATTTTATTGCGGTTACTTGCCAAGGCAGCATTTCACATTTTCATTTAAGTTTAAGTTTTTCATTTTCATTTCTGCAACAACGGTGATTAATCATTCATGACTTTAAGTGGCAGACACTTTAATAGATTGACATAACAGCACTGACTTGTTTTCGCAGATATTTACGTGTGCTCCAGAGAGCAGCCGTGTCAGAATGGGGCTACTTGCGTCTTGAATGACTCTGGGGATTATAGCTGCTTATGTCCTGAAGGCTTTCATGGGCGGGACTGTGAACTGAAAACTGGGCCTTGCCAAAAGACTAAGTAAGTGTTTTTTTTCTTTTCATGTGTAATGTAAATGCATGTTTGTGTGTTCAAATGTACTTACCTGCCTAACATCACAAACCTGCGGAAGAACAAAACGAGCCATTTTTAGAAGAACTTTCTGATTACAACGTTTCAATTAACACTTTTTTTGTAAGATCAGTGAATAGTGGTTTGTTCATGATTTGACCACTTTAAGTAAACATTTTGTTAAGCTATGATCCTTAATCTATTAGCACACAAGTCCAGATGCACTGGCACAGGCAGCACAACAGCCTGGTCAATTTGCAGCCTCCAAAGTGCAATCATGTAATTCAATGGGCTCATTACTGGCCCTGTAAGAGACCGCTAATACTGACACACTGCAGCTCGGCCCCTACTGTTCTTCCCATGACGACCAAAACAAACTGACTGAGAGGTTTCCAGGGAAACGATGCTGCAGGACTGGACCAGTTGCAACAATGTTCTAGAAACAACAAATTATTACTTGAAATATTACAGTATATGGTTTAGCCTGTGAATATGAATGATGTAATATGGATGTTTTCACATGTCAAAAGTTTAATATGCAAAAACAACTAAATAAATAAGCCATTCACAGGGCTGATTCCTCTCAAAAATATACAACGTGACTCTTTGGAAGATCTGTTTGCTCGAGCGTTTTGACCTGCTCGACATATCAACACTGGCTCAGCCAATGGCATTACATTAGGGCAGAGCTTTCTGTTTGTCCAACCAATGGCAGTAGAAAAGGAAATCATAAGGAATTTAACCATTGTGGTTCCAATACTGATTCCTTAAAGGGTTAGTTCACCCCAAAATGAAAATTCTGTCATCCTTTCCTCACCCTCATGTCGTTCCAAACCTGTAAGACCTCCGTTCATCTTCGGAACACAAATTAAGATATTTTTGATGGAACGTGAGAGCTGTCTGGCCCTGCATAGACAGCAACGCAACTGAAATGTTCCCAGAAAGAAACGTAAGCAAGGACATCGGTAAAACAGTCTATGTGACATCAGTGGCTCAACTTCAATTTTGCGAAGCTACGAGAATACTTTATGCGCAAAAAAAAAATTACATCATTTATTTAACAATTCTTCTCCCCCGAGTTACGTCTTCTACCATTTTGGAGAGTATCACAACAGATACGCATGCTTTACCCTAAGTGTAAACAACGCTGATTATGCCGATTACATTCATGCGCGCACTTTCCCCTCCTAACGTAAACAACGCTGATTACGTTCTTGGGTACTCTCCAAAATGGTAGAAGACGTAACTCGGTGGAGAAGAATTGTTAAATTATGTAATTTTTTTTTTTGCGCATAAAGTATTATCGTAGCTTCGCAAAATTGATGTTGAGCCACTGATGTCACATAGACTGTTTTACCGATGTCCTTGCTTACGTTTCTTTCTGGGAACATTTCAGTTGTGTTGCTGTCTATGCAGGGCCAGACAGCTCTCAGATTCCATCAAAAATATCTTAATTCGTGTTCCGAAGATGAACGGAGGTTTTACAGGTTTGGAACGACATGAGGGTGAGGAATTAATGACAGAATTTTCATTTTGGGGTGAACTAACCCTTTAATAGTTCCATTTAAGAATTTTGTACTTTTGAGGAAGAAATATTTAGAGAAAAGAAATTGCATTTACATCGCTCAGCAGCCTATTGCCAAATGATGATGATGTTCAGATTTCAACTGAAAAAAATAAAAAATGAGCGAATACAAGTAATACAGTTCTTTCAGATGGTGTTTACACAGGCATATTTAGCAATAATTTGTTGCTCATTGAGTCTTTTTAAGTCTCTTTAATTTAGTAACCACTCCTATTGTTCATTAATCGGACTACGCTCGCTACGAGTCCAAAGTATGCTTCAGTTTTGACGAAAATGTTAAGTGAATGCATACAGCCGAACACACAGCTTTTCAAAGTACTGTAGACTCCATTTAATAGCACGCAAGAACACAGGTACTCGAAACACAACATAAGTTTTTTGAAATCAATAAAAAACCCCGGCTTGTAAGTGTTGTTCTTTCAGGAATCGGACTACACTGGTTGCTGTTATGTTGTAGTAGCACTGTTGAATAGTAGTCGTTTAATGTGGTGTTCCATCCAATCGTTTTTGGATTTTTATTTTTTAAATGGAACTAGTTGTGAATAAAAATCAGTTCTCAGAAAGCTTTTTTTTTTTATTTGGTGACAATAGTGGTCCAGAAAACATACACTTGATGTCGATGAGGCAAATCAGGCCTAAAATCTTGTAGTGTGTGGGTATGGTAAACAACAGATATTTTCAATTCTTACATTTATTGCTGCAGGTCCCCCTGCAAGAATGGCGGCCTCTGTGAGGATCTGGGTGGTTACGCTCCAGAACTGTCTTGTCGATGCCTGGCTGGCTTCACGGGGCCCTGCTGCGAGACCAACATGGATGACTGCCTGATGCGCCCCTGTGCCAACAGCGCCACCTGTTTGGATGGTGTGAACCGTTTTTCCTGCCTGTGCCCTGCAGGTTTCACCGGCCGTTTCTGCACCATCAACCTGGACGACTGCGCCAGCCAGCCCTGCCTCAACGGAGGACGCTGTATAGATCGAGTCTCGACCTTCCAGTGCTTCTGCTCTCCAGGTTACACTGGAAGAACTTGCGAGATTCAAGTCTGGGAGTCGGAACCTCAAGCTGTGTCTCCGTTCAGGGGCGAAGGAGACCGAGTTACTCGGAGCAAACCTGCTCTAGTCAATCGCTCCCACGGGACCACTCCTAGTGGAGAGGAGAGACGCTCATTCAAAATTTCAGTGGTGACTCAGCACGGGGCGGAAGGGCTGTCAGAGCTGCAGCTCATCATCCTGCTGGTGTTGGGGGGCATGACTTTGGCCGTGGTGGCACTAACAGCTGGTCTGGTGCTGCGCGGACATTGCCAGGACCGATCGGCTCGCTGTCGGTGCAGACCTGCCCCCGCTCACCATCGCGCATTCCACCGATGTCGGACAAACCCTGTGCCTGCGCAACAGGAATGCAAGATCAGTTTCCTCCAGTCTCCGGCTCCAGCCGAGCTTGAGAAGAAGAGGCTGAACACCGACATCATTTAGCTGCAGAGATCATGCAGCTGCTCTTGTTGAAGTAAAGGGCCACTTCTGACCTCTCAAAAGATAAGACAGTACTGATGAATCTGAGAGTTGGTCGTTGAAAAAAGGTGGTTATTATTCAGAGTGATTACACCGAAATAAAGAACCAATTAGTAGTTTATTTTAATCAGAGATGCCACAAGTGAGGCATGTACTGCGGAGGGAACATTAGGTCAGGTAGAGTCGACATGAAATCAATAGTGCTCGTACCTGGTCTTGGAAAATTATTCCAAAGATAAGAAAGACTTTTTTGTGTAATATTTCATCAAAAATGTAATAACTTGCTCTGCCACTGAAAATCATTTTGGCTGATCTCACCAAGCAATATTTTTGATGGAAACCCTGAACCACAGATAGTCTATTTCCTTCCCCCAATTTTTTTCTCTTTATTTTTGGTCTTTAACCTTTTTTTATTCAATAAAGGCAACACTTGTTAGCTTGCTAGCTAACAGTAATCATGTAATATCAACCTCAGCCACCAGATGCCAAGAAAATGTTTACACCGTGGGAAAAAATCCACTTTAAATATGGTTAGTTAACATGAACAGTAAGATTAATAAATGCTTTGAAAGAATTTTTCATTGTTCATTTCAACATTAGTAATTGAATTCAAAAGTATCCGTTAATATTATTGAATAGGCCTAAGCTAACAATAAACGGTTGTATTTTTATAAACATTAACAAAGATTAATCAATTTTGTAACAAATGTATTGCTCATTGTTAATATTAGTTAATAAATTTACTATTGTTAACTAATGGGGTCTTGCTGTAAAGTTACAAAAAAAAAAAGTTAAACAAAAAACAAATTAGAGAATTATTTTAGAGGAAATAGACTCAGGACTTTTTTTTTTTCACCTTGTGTTTCAGGACTTTCTTAATTTTCATATAGAGAGCACTTTTTAATATCCAATCAGTTAAAAATGGATCAAATTGAATGACACCTTACCCTTTTTCTTGTTTTAATATACTGTGTAAACTGGAAATACAGTATGTCACATTATGAAGGTAAAGTGGGTTGCAGATGCTGTTTCATGTTGACTTCAAGGTACACACAGCCTGGGAACTACTGTATTTGTTGATATGATGTCTGTACTCAAAGAGTAAACAGTAGCACTAATGGGCTGCATGTAAAAAAAGGGAAGCACTAAACCACCCAAATATATCAAAACTTCCATTGTTACATTAGTACTGTATGTATATAATCAAGCCACGTTGCTAAAAGTGCTTTTAATTTCAGATGTATGTGTAGCCATTTTCGCCAAGTGTTCAAACTGTAAAATATTTCATTGTGAGTGAGTATATGCCAAGTAAGTTTTATTCTTTTTGCTTTATGAACATTTTTTAAATGACAATGTAACGTTCCCTTTAACATTATAGTGATGCTCGTTTAAGCAGGTTATTAATATAAATTTTATGGGAACAATTTTCGTGATACATAACGATACTCGTTTAAGCAGGTATTTAATATACATTTTATGGGAACGATTTTCGTGATACATAATACATTAACAGCAGTATTCTTAAGTGTAAATATAATTTATGTAATTTATTGGTGAAATGTACATTTGTTTTGTATTGTGTATTAAAGTTTTGAACTGTGTAATTAGTTGAACTATGCCTAAATCGCTCAGTCATAAACTACAAAAATGTCTTTGTATAACAGTTGCCATGACTAAATTTACTTTTCTATGCAACACACTCCATCCCCTTTAGCCCTGAATTTGACCATCACATAATGCATGACAAACAGTGCCATGGTTTTTAACTGACTTTTTTGAGCTGAAAAAAAAAAAACTTTTTGCTTTGCATTGTCACATTTTAAAGTTGTGAACTTGTGGGTTTAATTAACCTATTTTAGCTAACCGTGGGCAGTCGTGGCCTAATGGTTAGAGAGGCGGACTTATAACCCGAAGGTCGCGGATTCGAGTCTCAGGTCCGGCAGGAATTGTCGTGGGGGAAGTGAATAACATCACATAATGCATGACAAACAGTGCCATGGTTTTTAACTGACTTTTTTGAGCTGAAAAAAAAAAAACTTTTTGCTTTGCATTGTCACATTTTAAAGTTGTGAACTTGTGGGTTTAATTAACCTATTTTAGCTAACCGTGGGCATTCGTGGCCTAATGGTTAGAGAGGCGGACTTATAACCCGAAGGTCGCGGGTTCGAGTCTCAGGTCCGGCAGGAATTGTCGTGGGGGAAGTGAATAACCAGTGCTCTCTTCCACCCTCAATACCACGACTGAGGTGAGACCCTTGAGCAATGTGTGTTCACTACTGTATTTGTGACCCTGCAGCACAAAACCAGTCTTAAAGGGGTAGTTCAGCCAAAAATAAAAATTAGGCTGTGTTTTACTCACCCCCCGTGGCCATTACGACCCCTCTGAAAGGATTAAAACTCCCTTTGTGCGCCTTAAACTAACACATGCCCGCCTCCTCTGCTTCTGAAAAGCTGGTGCTTGGGAAACAGTACACAAATATGCTTTCTCTTCTCACTGACTGCCAGGCCACTTCGTCTCCCTTCAGACTCTATTTCCATTTAAATATGTGTCTTTTCTCTCTCGTTTCCCTCTCTCCTTCACGTTCCCCTTGTCCCCTTCTCGCCTTGCCATATGCAAATCTTTCCATTGGCTTGGATTCATCTGAAAGAAGAAAGTCATATACATCTAGGATGCATCGGGGGTGAGTAAAACGCAGCCTAATTTTTATTTTTGGGTGAACTAACCCTTTAAGTCTCTGGGGTATATTTTTAGCAATAGCCAAAAAAATTGACCCTTATGACTGGTTTTGTGGTCCAGGGTCACATTTGTGCAGTTGGATGGGTTAAATGCAGAGCACAAATTCCGAGTATGGGCCACCATACTTGGCCACAGGGTCACAATCACACAATCTGTGCACTACCAATGCTTTAGAAAATAAAGACATCAAGTGACCCCTGGTGGACAATTCAAAACAATGATAGTGTGTGGATCTCAACCCTTTTTCATGACACCCCCCCCCACACAGTGAGATATTTATTTACCATCATTTATTTACAGTGTGTTACCCAATGTAACACCAGCGTTTAGCTGAAAGAGATTTATTCACATGTAAGTAACAATACACCGCTTAATTTACATTCTCACTGAAAATGTAATATATAATGCCCACCAAAGGAAGACTGTCCTACTCACTTTGTAAAATGAGAGGTGAAGCATATAGAAGTTGCACTTATCTGTTATGATTCGCTGAAATGTGCTCATCAGTTCTTGGTGATACTATCAAAATATTTCTCCAAGATACTCTCGACTTCATCCTCTGTGTAGTCCTGGACTTGGAAGAGTGAGTTTGTGGATGCTCCTCTGATCATGGCAGACAGCACTGGAGAGTGGGAGATGAAAAATATCTATGTGGATATCTATTATGTGGAGAAAGTCTTAATACCTTTTCCAGAAGAAGGTCTGAAGAGACAGAAACCCCTCTTGTTCACTGCTACAGCTCGACTGAGCTCATAACCGACTCCTAAAGACGGCTGTGTCCCCTCAGCTACTATCACTGAGACAGAGACAGAAAAACTGCACTGAATCCCTCAGATTGTGATGGAGCCCGATACAACAGAACTAAGACAGAGAACATGGTTAATGATAAAAGGCCTGAAGCAAAAGGACTTTTTTAGTGTAACTGTAAATACTCCATTCTTCAGGTCATGTTACATGTGTCTTTTTATTTCTATAAAGTACATGTGATGTATAATTTACATGTATTATCATTTATATTGTTATTAACTTAGGTTGAGCTCACAGCGTTGTACTGCAGTGCTTTCAACGGATAAACATTACGACAACTGAACCTTTTCCCGCTCGAACACACGCGGAGACGCCGCAGTGTGGCGGTATTCACACGGTATTCACAACACTTCATGCGGCACTATTAATGAAAACGGTTTTTATATATAATTTACTAAAAGATATTTAATTATGCGCCCTCATAGATTTATTTATTTTACCAGTTTTTTTCCATTAAAGAATTAAAAAGAAAACACATGGACACCAAGGGCCCCATATCAAACGACTTAAAATATATAGGTTACAGTAATAAAAAAAAAAAAATCGAATTAAGCTAATATTTTCTAAATGAAAATAAACGAGGAAAAACAAAACAAATAAATTCCTAATCTTTAAGATTTATATCTCGTTAGTTTGTAATTTCTAATTTTGCTTTAATATATATTAAATGTACCTAATAAAATTATAAGGTTAAAAATTAAACTCACATAAGCGACTTATAAGTCTAAATGAATGACTACATATCTGCGCAGCAAAGAGAGAGAGAGAGAGAGAGAGAGACGACTGACGGTTTTTTAATAAAAAGATTAAATATATTTTGTTTAGTTTTTTTTACTTTATACGTTTGCTTATACATAGGTTACACATTTAAATTCCTAATCTTTAAGATTTATATCTCGTTAGTTTGTAATTTCTAATTTTGCTTTAATATATATTAAATGTACCTAATAAAATTATAAGGTTAAAAATTAAACTCACATAAGCGACTTATAAGTCTAAATGAATGACTACATATCTGCGCAGCAGAGAGAGAGAGAGAGAGCGAGAGAGAGAGACGACTGACGGTTTTTTAATAAAAAGATTAAATATATTTTGTTTAGTTTTTTTTACTTTATACGTTTGTTTATTAAAGTAGAAACACATGGATTCACGTGCACAAATAGAAGAATAGCATAATATTAAGGTTAAATTACTTTTCTCAATAAATTCATAAAGGATTATATATATATATATAATTTAAAAAATTTTTTTTTTTTACATTTAATCCATAGACTGTAAAAATCGCTTAGCGCGTCGACGTATCGTGACGCAATCAATGCGCAGTTGTGCTTCTGCGCAGTACCGGAAGCAAATAACGGACTCATCGCGCAGCACTCCAGATACAGACAGATCTGCTAAAAACATTTGGATAAAAGAGCTCGCCAGAAGAAACAGGTAAGAGAAAACAATCAGAGATCATTCACGGCATGTTGCTTTATAGGGTAAACAGTCGTATTCGTAACTCAATACCCTGGAATTGTAGGTGTATGTGACCAAACGGGACTTTATAGCTTAAGCTTACTTTGACAGGGGGATGCTGACTCTATACAACATACACAACATGTAAGAAACATATATATTTTTCTAACATGTCAAGAGGCGAGCAGTGTTTATTTAACAGCTGTATATCCCTCTGCCGAAATGAAAGAGTCTCGCATGCGCGCTGTGTCCGTTAGCAGCTGTTGAATGGAAGTGCGAGGGCCCGAGGGATGGGTCCAGAGAGAATCTTACCGAACTCCGAGGATGATGTGGTGCAGGACCGGCCTTTAGACACCGCGGCGCCGGAGGAGTGGAGCGGAGAGGACATGGAGGAGGAGGAGGAAGGAGGCGCTGGGGACGAGGACAATGCTGGATATTATTATCAGCCTCTGAATCAAGACCCAGACGGGATGAACGGCTCACACACAGAGCCCGCGGATGAAGGAACCGCCGCAGAGCAGCTTCAGGAGGTCCAGGACAGAATAGAGGTACAGTACAAGGGAGTCTTCTTTCTGACTGTTGCAGGCACCCTCATCTTTCTGGTTAGCCGGCGTGGACTAGTGTTGGTGTACCCTACCCACTAATTGCTTCTTGTTGTCATCTTTATGATCATTTGCAGGCCATGGGTCTGTTCCTGCCCCAGCCTCCTCCTCCTGACAGCGATGAAGAGGAGGATCCTGAAGGAGCCGCTGCTGGTAGAAGTCATGCGTCCATTCCCATGGATGCAGGTGAGAAAGAGAACAGACTTCACATTTGTTGCATTAGTTCTCTGTCAGTTTGTGGGACCAAAATATATAGGAAAAACTATAAACTACAAAGCAAATCTGCTATCTAAAAAAACTGCTTGATTGTTTTTATCATTGCAAAATGTAAACCATACTATCATCCAGCTTTAATCTGCTAAATGTGACTAATGCATGAAGATTTTAAGATATTGTAAACATTAATACGATTTTCTGTAAAGCTGCTTTGAAACAATGCAGCTATATTATATTTATATACATATAAACTTGGTTGACTGATATTTTTAAATGCCTGTTATAAAGAATACAACTTAATACTAGCAAACAAACAAAACGAACTCAAAATTGTTGAATTTAACTTGAGTAATACTACTAGTATTATTTAAAACAGAAAATTTGCACAATTGGAATTTTGGATTTAACAGGTGGAATGATGCAAGTACACAAAATTGTTGAATTTAACAGTAATATTAGTTTGTAATATTGGTAACATTTCTTTTATGCACAATTGGAATTTATAGGTCAAATGATAAAAGTACAAAAAATGTTGAGCTTGACTGACATTAGTGATATTTCAGACAGAAAATGTGCAGTTGGAATTTTGGAATTAACAGGTGGAATTATTAAACATTGTCAAAGTTCAGTTTTTAACTTGTCAAAAATACAGATGATTGATTTAATGTTGTGGCCTTTTAATGTCCAGTATTAAAAATCTGTACTATTTTCCTTAAATGTAAAATAAACCCCTAAAATCAGTCCTTTAAAAACTTAAATTAGGCTTCGCATTATACTGTATTTTTTCTCTACCATAGATTATATTAAGTGTTTTTAAAATATTAGTGTTTTTAAAGACTTAAAAGGATCGGTCGATGAGAGCAAAGGTAAACTAAATACAAAAATGAGTATGCACAATAAAATATCCATCATCTTATACCAATATAGATACATTTAAAATAAAAAAGCGCTAATATCAACGAATGTATTTACCGATATATTGGTTGATATTAGCATTATAAAATATATGTTAGCAATATATATTTTAGGTATCAATATATTTTTTATTTTTGTCATCACAGATCACGTTGAGCTGGTGAAAACGACCATGGCGGCTGTAAATTTGCCGACACTAGGAATTCCTGCCTGGGCCCAGGAAATCTCTGACGACCAGTGGAAGGACATGGTCCAGCAGACGCTTCAGTCCAGACAAAGCTCTGCAGGCCTGAGACTAGAACGCAAGTGAAACCGTTTCAAGAGCCTCGTCTTACACTGCAGAAACAGATTCTGACATTCGCTCATCTCAAACAAATCAAAAGGCATATTGATCACTTTAGCTGTGGTTTATACAAACTGTGGACTTGAAATTCTTGAATCTAATAGTTTGCCTTTTAATTACTTTGAACTGATACACAGCAAGTGTCCAGTTGATGCAGCTACACAGTAGGCAAAACCTGTTCTGAAAACACCCCAAATGTTTTTTTAACCCAGTTGTATTAATTATGCAGTGTGTTCTTGGGCTTTTTTTTTTGTTTGTTTGTAAAGTGGAGAATTTTGCAAGACTTAGAGGTTGCTTTTGTATGACGGTTTAGACATGTAATGATGGTGCATCTCAGTAATAATCACATCTAAATCAATCTGACTGTTGATACCTGTGCAACGAGTGACTGATCCTTTATGTATCTCACACGGCTTGAGCACAAATGGCCGTCACATCTTTTGTGTTTCTTTATTTTTGTTCTGTACATACATGAACATCTGTACAAAATATGACTTTCATACTATGTAATGCTCAACCTAATTAAAGTACAACATATGTACATATGACCTGGAAAGCAGCTTAAGATTAGTGTCAGACTTGAGGAGGTCTGGGAGAGGAGGGAAAGGGAAGGGTGAGTGTGGAGAGACCCATACTTTCTTTATTTCCCTCTGTTTCTTGTTGCTGCCACACAAGCTGAACACTGGCCCCATCCGCCTGTTGAGCTGCATTGAGAAAGGAAGCATGCTGCGTTCAAGAGTGAAGTTGCCTCTGATTGTTTCTGGAATGTTTTGGTCTATGTAGAGGCAGCTATGTTGGCAAATCATGCTCTTGATTGCACGGACACGTCATTCCCGTATGCTGATAGGCCGAGGTAACGTTACAACACTTCAAACAGCTAATGATTTAAAGACTTCACCTCTGCACTGCATACTAATAGGCTGTTATAGCACGAGTCGAAACGTATGCACATGTTTGAAGCAATGGAAGAAGTGTAGCAGCTTGAATGCACAGCAAGTGGACGTCAAGGCGAATTACAGTGGGACCTTTGAGCTGCGCATCGGATAGAAATAACATGTTGGGTTGTCCAGCAGCCTGTAGGAGGGGTAAATGTTCCCTCACTATTGGAATGATCAAAGTCACACTTCACGAGACAGACCTTTACAGCAGAGAGGGGACATCATGCATCAGAATGGAGTCGTACAAGCAAACGGAATGAAAGAAAAGATGAACTTGGAGCATAAAAAAGGAATACTGACGGGCAAGGGTGCAATCATAAGCAACTTACATGACAATATACAGTACACAAGTATTTGCAACAGCAATTGCAGGCTGTCAGTTTTCCATATATTAAGCCTGGACAAGCGAGTATCTTTTCTCTTTAAGTATATAGTCCTATTAGGAGGATTGTATAGCACTTGATCGTACACTAGACCAGTCCATGTTTTCCATACTGTTCTAATTCCTGAAAAAAATATTGCTTTAAAGTGGGAAAAAAAAAAAAAACTGCAACAGAAGACGTACAATCTTGGACAGGACGGTAATTCCCGATCTTGTTTCCTTTTCAAAGGCTCAAAGGGAGTTTGTTTTTTGTTCTTTTCTAGTTTTTATACATCACAGAAACCTATGGAGCAAAAACAAGACACCTTCAAAAAGCTAGGCGGTGAAAAAAGGACGTTTCGATTTGATTGGTATCGGGTCAAGAGGTATCAGTCCTAAAACGAAAATAAAACATGAATGCATACAAACATAAGTGCAGTGTGGACCAATAGGCCATTGGTGCATGCGTTTAGAGCACAGACTGTATACTACTTTTACAGCATTGTCATCAAGCGCTCTGCTGGTGGTGTTTAGAGATGATTGCTTCCACAAATCTCCCTTACATTTGACGATCATTATCACAATCACTGGGAAAACAGCAAACGGATTAGGTCGAACTCTTCAGCCTCTGCCTCTTAATATGTGGCCATGACCTCAAAAATTACTTCTTCAGATGACTACCTGAAGCATTTATAGCACCAGGCCACTATGGAGAAACAATTGTTTAAATACCCTCTCAGGTGTACGTCTAGGGAAGCATCCGAAATAAGATTTGCAATTCCTTGTGGTTTGAAATCTCCAATTTGCATGTCTAATTCATAAAGCTGCTTTCTCCATATAGTGTATTGTATGACATCAAGGACAACCCTGCTCGCTCCCGTTTGGCTACAGTCCCTATGCTGAGCGCACACAGGAAAATCCAACACAGGGTCACCATCTCCACTGAGGTCTTCATTTATCTTGAGTGACATGATTCATTTAGTTAAATTTGGCCCCTTCATTGCGAACACCGAGAGAACAGATTTACAGAGGCAGTGATTGGAATACAGGAGAAGCTCTCAAGCAGTGGTAAAAACAGGATAGGGAACATGCGGACAAATGGAGACAGCACAAAGTGGACAAAATAAAGCGGAGTGTGGAGAGAAAAACAAACCACAACACGAGCATACTTTCATCATTTGTAACCCACACTGCTTTCTAACAACCCAGTGCTGGCTTCTGTTCGGCGTGAGGATCAGCAGCTATGGATTTGTGAAGACTTTGGAAAGTGTTTGTGCGCACATAGGGGGCGGGACAGAGTTTATGGGAGCTCTCCACTGCTCTGTGGGCTGGATTTTTCGCAGACGGGGCTCTCCAACAGCGAGGGAGGAAGAGAGTATGGATAGAGGCAGAGGAATAGAGAGGTGGGTTTACAGCAGGCGACAATTTTGGACCAAGACGAGAGGGACAGTTTAGGCGCGGTGGAGGGTGGCGGTGCTCCCCGGTCAGAGGGCTTCCTGGTTGGCCGTCAGGTACTCCTCCGCTCGCTTGTGAGCTTCCAGGGCTTTTATAGTATACACGTCCTGCGGCAGCTCAGACTTTCGCCTCATCAAAACCTTTTCTTTCTTGATTTCTTTCAACCCCTATAAAGAAAACGGTTATATTACTGAGACCGTGCATCTTACAGCTAGACTAAAGGCCAAAGTATACTTCAGTTTTGACACTAACACTTACAGCTGAATGCATAGCCTTTCTAAGTATACTCCATTTGTGTGAAAAAAAATTATTTCCAAACATTATGACAAATAAAAATATCTTTGCACTTTTTAAAACTACAGTTTTGGGTACCACTTATCTCTAAAATCTGGCTGCACGTTGCGTGCACTGTGCACATTCCATAGCATTTATTTCACATGTCATTGCGTTTGCTCTCCTGTTGAGCTATTTCATCCGCAACCATTGCAGTATTTGATTTCTATAGCGACTCATTTGGCGCACATCATTCTCTTTCTAAGAAACCTGTAAACCACATTCACTGGTTCTTACTCTATAGCGGTTTGCCAGAGCATTGCAATTACCTCGCATTTAGTAGAATTCAATCAAATGGCTTTCCCAACTCAGTTTTTTGCGTCTGTCCTGTGCGCGGCATATTATTCTTCTGCGTGGACGCAGCTTAGAGGGAACATTGGTGTGAACTTAGTTTTACCGTTTTGAGACTTTTAGCTTTAACTTAAGTATTGCATAATGTTGATGCCAGATTTATAATTCATGATGAATAATCTTTTTGTTTGTACCCATGTCACAATAATACATCAGGAGAAAAAAACATGATCAGATGAGATGAAGCACCTTTCAAAGCATTTAATTTACTGAATTATGCAAAAAAAATAGGCATAAATAGTTATTCAAATATTAAAATTTCCAGCAAAAACTGTGCTATTGAATTATTCATATAGGATTTTGTTCATACCAAAGATGAAAGTAACCCAGATGAATGCATAATAACGGTTACATTTACAGAAATAAATGACTCACCTCCTCTTGAGGCAGACCGGGCCGCAGCTGAATCTTTGTACTCTGTGAAAATCCAAAACATGCAAGTTGACAAACACATTCACAGGCTCCCTCATCACATCTGATTAAACGCTGGGCTCTTTTTGTGTTTGCCCTCAGAGCACACTGGTGACTCTAGAGATGAGCTGTGGTAATTACACTCGTCAGGAGTAGTTTGGAGTTAATTCATTCTAATTACGTTTAAGAGAGAGCGAGAGAGAGAGAGAGAGAGAAAGAAAACAAGCTCCCCCTTATACTTATCAGTAATTAAGGGACCCAGGCTGTTTTAGTTACACACAAAGCTTTGGGAATAAAGGTAAATATAACTATACGATTAGCAATACCGAAGAACCTGATAAAATGCCTCTTAAAATGATTAATTCTCAATTAAAATACATCTAATAATATATGACTCCACTGACAGTCTGATTGTGTCCTATTTGATTGTCTTTACATGTACACACCTGTTCAGACATTTGGGGTGAATAAGATTTTTTTTAAATGTTATTCAAAGAATCTCTTAAGTTCACTAAGGCTGCATTTGTTTGATCAATCAACAGTAAAAACAGTAATACTATGAAATATTATTATTATTAATTTAAAGTAATAGTTTTCTATTTTAATATATTTTACAATGCATCTTATTCCTGACGCAAAGCTGAATTTTCAGCATTTCTCCAGTCTTCACTGTCACATGATCCTTGAGAAATCTTTCTAATATGATTCAAGTAACATTTATTATCATCAATGTTGCAAACAGTTGTGCTGCTTAATATTTTTTATTTATTTATACATTTATTTGAAATAGAAATCATTTGTAACGTTACAAAGTCAGTCTATATTCTCACTTTTGATCAATCTGAATAAAACAATGAATTAAAAAAGAAAGAATGAAAGAAAGAAATGAAAAATTGAACTTTTGATTGCTAGTGTCAGTGCATAGCGGAGGCCGTTTACCTGGGGATTTTGTTTTGCTAGCTCCTCTATTTTATGCCACATTTCTTCCCGCTCCTTAAGTTTGTACTTCTCTCTAATGAAGAACAGGAAAACAGAGTTTAGGATATGCCAGAGAAAACCACTCGTAAATGTATGTGGACACATATGGTTGCCACAACTTGCTTGGTAAAATCGGTTTATAAAACAAACAGACCTTCCATTTGACCAAATCAAAGACAGTCAACTGGGTTTCAAAATCTTAGAGAACTGCTTATCTAGACATCGTCTCTGGGCAGGTGCAAAATAACAACTGCTGACAAGATCATCCCAGACAGTTCATGTGAGAACAATCGTACAATCTTCAAATCTCCCCCATATTCTCTCTTTCTCCCCTCATTCACTTACTTCTGCTTCTCAGCCTTGTACTGCTGAGTGCAGTCATCAAACAGCTTCTGGTTCATCTCCATAAAGAGCTTGAGAGCGTTGTAGATAAGCCCATGGATTGTCCTGCAGGAGGAAACACAGCTCTATTTGAACAGAACGCTTTTTTCTTATGGTGTTTTGAATATGATACGTCTTAATGGAAAATCAGGTTGTGACAATTCCAGAAGTGAAGTTTGATTAACAAGTGTGGCTGTACTTGTTCCAGTGGCTCTTGGAGTTCTTGTAGAGAGCGGGAAACATGATGGGGAGGATCTTGGCGGCATTGTCACTGATCAGGCTCATGATGTACTCATTGTTCCAGTAATACAATGCTCTTTCAGCAACCTAGAACACACATGATCATTACAGATCACCGTTACACGCATATATGCTAGTATTATAAAGCTTGTCACCTTGGTAAGATAAGTCTCTCAATGCTCAAGGAGTTTGAAAAGTACTATCTTGGCGGCATTGTCACTGATCAGGCTCATGATGTACTCATTGTTCCAGTAATACAATGCTCTTTCAGCAACCTAGAACACACATGATCATTACAGATCACCGTTACACGCATATATGCTAGTATTACAAAGCTTGTCAGCTTGGTAAGATAACAAGTCTCTCAATGCTCAAGGAGTTTGAAAAGTACGATAATGCTGTAATACCTGGAAGTGTGGACTTGATACACACTTGGCCAGCTGTCTAAAGAGGGGCTCCATGACTTTAACAAATTCTGAGGGCTCGATGACATCCAAGATTTCCTCCAGCTCATTCAGAAACATCACCTCCTTGGGACTGTGAGTCTTGGGCCAGAACTTTAGCAGGCCTATAATCACCTGATGCAGAAGAACACAGGAGGAGGCAAATAGCTGTGAGAAAGCCATGTTTGCTCTCTATGCACTAGCCATGCTCAAGTTCACCATGAAAAGAGAATTCAAACAGAAAAACTTGAAAGACTTGAAATGTTATTATTAGTGACAGGAAACAGCAAAGGTGCAGTTGTGCTAAGGCTGTAAATCTTACGGGTTCAGTGAGGCTGCTGTCCTTTTCCAAAAACTGCACCACACAGTAGGCCAGCTGAAAGCACAAGAAATAAATTTTTTCCAAAAAGACATTACAAAGAACACAATAGGATGACCAACACTGAGCCACTGCTGTTCTTCATTCTGTTAATACATTGTGCAAAGCATCATAACCTATAAGACTTAATCATAATATATATAGACTATGGACACAGAGGAAGGGGTGGGCGATATGCCAGCAAAAAGTATTTTTTTCTAATGTGGTTATGCAAACTTCATGGGCGTTTTGACCATTTTCAAATATCACTGTCAATGAGAAAATGTGAAAGAGCTTGTTAGAAAAAAGGTTCATCTTCGTGGTCTAAAACTGACCCATAACTAGTTACCTTGCTAATGCTGTAAAACTTTACTTGCGCTTGCCCTGACATTTTAAAACATGGAGAGAAATGATTGAACATATTACCTCAAATCAAATACAATATGGAATAACCAATCCAGATGAGTCAAAAAGATCTCTAATATGCTGTAGAGTAACAGCAATAATGTTCAGCTTTAAAAAGAGAGAAGCTTAATATTTTGGTTCAGATTTTTTTTTCAAATGCAAGCAAATAAAAATTGTATTTTTAATCACATAAGCAAAATTATGTGCTCCTCAGCTGCATGCTAATATATTCAGTAATACAGCACAATTGCGAGTCTGTATATTTTTCTCCAACAAAAACAGCCCCAAAAGAAGCTAAACAGATAAGCTGAACTTTTAATAAAAACAGTGAAACATCCCAGTGGTGTTGAACTAAATGATTAGCTCTCTTGGAACACCACTCAGCCAATCAATTTTAGAACTGTGGTTTAATGCAGTTATTGAAAGTTTTGAGAATACTGTGACTTCCACAGCAAAGTATTTTGCTCATAATCATCCACCCCTATAAAAAAACAATCATTACCAGTGTTGGGGGTAACGCGTTACAAGTAACGTGCGTTACGTAATAATATTACTTTTCTGAAGTAACTAGTAAAGTAACGCATTACTTTATAAATTTACACATGAATATTCGAGTTACTTTTTTCAGTTGAATTAATTTGCTTTAAAAAAAATTTAATTACTTAATTAAAATGAACGTAATCACGTAGAATCACGCACTCAATGCGTGCGCGGGAACAGACATAGTCAGAAACGGAGATGGCAGGTCAGAGCTTTACATTTCTGCGATGGAAGTATTCTAATTATTTTGAACTCGTCGAAGAAAGGGAGAAGGGGATTGTCGTTAAGTGTAGATTATGTGTAGGTGAAAACTCTTGTCAACTGCAAAAAACACCACTTCAAATTTAAAAAAACATCTGCATGCAAAGCACAGCACAACAGAGATGGACGAGAAAGAGCCGAATGATACCTGCACCCCGCCTCAAGCTAAACAACAAAAGCTTGATTTCAGTTCACCTTCACCAGGTAAAACAATTAGTTCGACTGAACTCAACAAATTGGTTGCTGCTTTTATTGTCGAGGAGATGCAGCCACTATCCACTGTGGAGGCGCCTACATTTCGTAATATCATAAGCAAAATCTCAGTGACAGGCAAAAGGACGGGGGGCGTGCTGCCCGATCGCAAAACCTTTACAAACAGTTCAACCATACTAATAAGCAAAAATGACTTTAGAGAAACTAACAATTGTGCTTTGTTTTTTTTATTGCTGAAGAGTGTTTCTTCTGCGTTCTACTGTACAGACGTGAATTTACTTTTGCTTCAGCCTGAGGTTTATTCATTACACTTTTTGGTGTGAAAGGGCTTTTACATTTGCTGTAAATATAACTTCTTATATTAAAAACAATCAAGTCCTGCTTATATTTAAAAAGTAACGCGAAAGTAACGCAAAAGTAATATAACGCATTACTTTCCATAAAAAGTAACTAAGTAACGTAATTAGTTACTTTTTTAGGGAGTAATGCAATATTGTAATGCATTACTTTTAAAAGTAACTTTCCCCAACACTGATCATTACTACATAAAAGTCCTCAACAAAAGAGTGTTCTCCTTAAGTGTACCTGTGGGTGATAGACGCTGAGAGACTTGACTTTGTGTAAAGGCAGTAGCACTCTGATGAGAAACATTTTGTGCTCCTCTTTCAGTGGCAGGGCAAATCCATTAATTATGCTGTGGGAAGAACGTGAGACCGGTCATGTGACAGACAGTTCAGCAATAAGAGAAAGACCTCCTCTCAGGTTTGTCAAGGCAGCACTGATAGTGGTCACACTCACCTTCCTAAGATTTCTAAGAGCTCCGCAATCCCATTGTGATGCTCCGTCTCGTATATAAACCTACAGTGCGAGATCAAGGACATCGACTCAATGGATGAATTCTGGAAGAGCTACCCATCTCACCTTTTGAATGCCAAACTCGGCTGATTCAAAGACAGACTTGTTACTAAGAGCTCACAGTTTCTGTCTACCATTACAAAGTTTATGAATGAGAACATATTTAGTGCAAAATGAACCAAACGCAAAGGTGGATTAGTTTGGCGGACAGCTTGCCTATAAAAAATATTGTTGATCTGCCGACGGATGTAGGCTCTCAGTCCCAGGAACTTTCCATAGATCCTGTGCAGGATGGTTTTTAGGAAGTCCCGCTCTCGGGGGTCTTCACTGTCGAAAAGCTCCAGAAGCTGAAAAGAAATAAGATGACATTAGCATAATCATAAAATGTGTTCTGAGACCCAATCCCAGTAGCTATGTTTACATGCATCCAAATAATTTGTTACTAATCAGATTGATGGCTCAATTGGACTGAAAGCCTTCAAGTAAACATCTCAATCAATCCGACTGAGCTCGAGCTAAATGAAATTTTGTTTGGATTAAAAGGGGTGGTGTTGATCTGAAATAATCAGAAAACATTAATCATGTAAACGCTTAAATCCAACTAATTTCTCAATCGGTTTCAAAAATACCTTGCCCACATGAGCAATGCCTTGATGCATATTTTTACATGACGTTTTATGTCATAAGAACGTGTGTATGTTTATTGACGTCTCATGTCTTATGAACTGATCAGTGGATGAGACTAAATTGATAACTTTGGTCACTATAATCGTTATATGAAATTTTCATACCGTTACATCCCTAGTGCGCTATATCAAACATTTTTTATATCGTTATCGATGAAGGTGTACAGTCGATAAATATCGATACCGTTTTATCGCCCAGGCCTAACTAAATATTGGCTAAAAAGCTCTTCTGAATGTCTAGGCCTGTTTACACCTGGTCACTTCACACATTTTTCTGATCAGACAGCTATCTGATCATGAAAAGACCAGGAATAAATGCCTTCCAAAATGCTTTCTTTTTCAGAGGACATTTTTTTTGCTCTCTCCTTTTGTGGTCTTTGATCTTGAGCTTAGCTGATGATTAATAAAATAAAATACCTTTTGCTTTCATTGATGTGAACTCGGTTAAATTTGCATATAGCGCACAAATTAAAGATCAGATTTATATTTGTTTTGCGGAGACACATTTTTGTGTGGCCACATGTAAATGGAACCATTTTAACACATCAGATAGCTATCCAATCAGTAAAAACACATCAAGTCTCCATGTGTAAACAAGCACTTAGATGTGGCAAAAACAATAACTGAACTCATGATAGCTCCGGTGACATTATCAAAGCGGCCTTCTCTGGTTCCGAACGCAGCAAATGGGTACTGAAGATATCAGAATACATTTAATGCATGTGCAAACAAATATGTGAATCAGACAGCAATGTTTAGGGTTCATATAAACAGAACATTCAGAATCTGAAACTGGATAGGATTAATTCCAAAACTAATTGCGTGTAAACATACCTAGTGAGTTGGACTCCATATAACACTCTAGTGTTGTCAAAAGACCCGGTACTTCGGTACCAAGTTGGTACTTAAATGAAAACGTTACGGTACCAGGTTTTTTTAAGTACCGTACCAGTGGTACCGAGTATGCAGATGCGTTCTCTTCATAAAAGCACTGAGACATGGCGACCTCAAAAGGAGGAAACACATCAAACTAACAAAACACTTTAAAGATCGATGCCCAGAGCAAATGAAAGTGTTCAAGCAGGTAAGTTTTATTTTTTCATTCAATTTAATTTTTAATATTTCACATAATGGTATTTACTATTTTTACACACCAGAGGCTTTTAAATGAATTGTGAATCTAAAATATGCGTGTTAGAGAATTTACAAATGGTTAACAGTGTTTATGTCATATCAGTCCATCAGAAAAGCAGTTCTGGGCTTTTTTTTAACTAGTTGGTTAGTTGTTATTCTTGGCTGGATAACTCTAGCAGGTATAGATAACTAAATATGTATACAGTTTGGATTAAATGAAAGTAGAGTCAAATTGAAAAAAAAATCTAATATCAACTTACAGTGAGTGAACAATATATTTTTACAACATGAATGTTTTTGAATGTTATTTAATACAAACACTTGATCATTCATGTTTGTTCATTGTGCATTCAATAATTTTAACAGATTGAACTTTGAAATTAACCCTAAGAAGAAGAATTCATTTTGGAATTTCTGTGGTTTAATGTGATATTGTTGTTCATGTATGTTCATGATTAAATTTTCTTTTATTGTTGTAATTAATTTATAGAATTAACAAGATGACCCTGTTGAATTCTTTTTGGGAGCGATGACTGATTGAACGTATTTTTAGTCCAGTGCCTGAATATAAGATTAGTATTGACTAAGTTCAGAGGCTGTCATATGTGGATCAACTTACTATGTTGTGTATTTTCAACAGTTTCAATATGAAAAATAACTTTTATATTGATTCAATGGATTTATTGCATTTTGGGAAGAAAAAAAATCAAATTTTATAATAAATCTTTGAAAATCAAAATCTGGATTTGAATTTTTAATGTTATTATAACGTAAAGATGGTATGTGAAAGTTTGAAACAGAAAATAGTTGTTTTCATCTTGCTACTTTCTTGGTAAAGAAAACACATTTTTACTCAAATTAATCAAAATGGATTTATAGCATTTTGGAACAAAACTCTTCATATGTAATCTTATCTAAGTTTATTATAAAAGCTGAGGTTTGTTATTTACTGAAAAGTTATATTTTAGCTGGTGTCAATGATCTAATGTTGCATTTGGTTATATTTTCCTTTTACAGCTGCAGGCTGAGGAAGATCATGAAACACCAGCAAACCCTAAAACAGACAACAGTTTACAGTTGTTTTTCAGCGGCAGCAGAAATATGACAAACTTTTGGGTGAAACTTGTTTACTTTTTTTTCATAATTTTATTACTTGCGGAAAAACTTGAAACACAATTTTAAATAAGTATAAAGAATGGCATTGATTTTTGTACATTTTATTTTTGTTTGACTTTATTAATAATTTGCTTTGGTATCGAAATTGGTACCGAGAACCGTGTATTTTCACTGGTATTGGTACCAAATACAGAAATTTTGGTACCGTGACAACACTATAATGACATGGAATGATTCTAGGCCAATAAAATTCTAGGCCCAAAATCCTGCTCTCTAGATATCAGTCTCACCATCAGTCCATGTAAAACACCACCACCAACAAAAACATCCTCGATCCACCAGAAATTTCAAAGTGCACAAAGTGATGCTGGCATGGTGATTATACTCTTGCTTTAAACTTGACTTAGTATTCTACACAGGCAAGTGCTGATCTCTGCAGTGCAACATGCATGTAACAGCAGCTGGCCTCAGTTTCCTCACTGGTACTCACAGCAGAGGGAGTGTGTAGCTTCCTCTGATGGTGTGCTGGTGAGGACAAACTGTGTTGCAGCTATAGGTCAGAAGAAAGTGCACTCACCGACATTACAAACTTTTGGTCAATGTATTTTTTGGCAATGTTGGGCTGAAAGTCAGGTGACTCCAGGAATCTTAAGAAGAATTCATACACCAGCTGAGGAAAGGAGAAAGAGGGGGTGAGGAGGAGAGATAGTAATAAAGCTCAACACTAATACATGATTAATGTATCTGTCTGGTCCTCTTTGCCACCAAAACAATAAATGCTGTCAGTTCCTGAACAAATAGGCTTTTTAATAATTTGAGACAGACGTTTTGTTCCAAAACCTAGTGAACTGCTTCGCTGCAACCTCACTGGCAGGGAACCTCAGAACTGACTGCAATGCTCTATAAAGGCAGCAACTCTGTGACCTACACAAATAGCACTCTTTTTGACTATGACTTTAGCACGGTGCTAAAGGTAACAACAAATACAGAAAAGTCGAATTTGTCAAATACATATTTCAGTATTGAATGATATTTTTATATTCAATATTTGGATTTATTTTTCCCTGAGATTCACCACAAAGGACAAATGTGATGCTGCCATTGGATTTGGCCAAATTAAAAAATTTAAACTTCTGCCAATGGAGGTAGAACAGAGCAATATAGTTTTGTATCCTCATGGCTTGCAAAGCAGTTTAAGGCCAAAATCTTCATAATATAATAACATAAACAGGCATATGAAAAGGAAAACACCAAGGACATCCAGCAACATTCACTGAAGAGTTGAATAAATGACATTTCTAAAGAAAACAAGAAAATGAGTGTTGATAATATGAAGCTGCACACACACCTGCAGGTGAGGCCAAGCTGCCTCTAGAGTGGGTTCGTCCTCTTCGGGGTCAAACTCTGCTCCCGTGGGGTTGGAAGAGGGCGGCAGAGTCCTGAACAAGTTTACAGAAAACTGGAAAGAAATACACATTATCTGTCATTACAGAGAGCCAGAGTCAGTGAACAGAGAAACTATCCAGTCTAGGAATATACTAGAAGTACTGTAACAAACCAATATAATATTTCTATTTGGTATATCATAAAGCAACAGGCATTAGAGACCTTAGAGAAAAAAAATGTACAGGTAAAAACTAACACATAGAAGAGTTCTCACAATACCTTTTTTCTATCACGATACCAAGTAATATTAGGACCAAGTGAGTAGTAGTATTTTTATTATGTGTGAATCTGTCTTTATTACAGAGGCTTTTCTGTTCTATTAATTATTTAAAGTTGACTCAAAATAATTATTATTGCTATACTGGAATATTGTTACACAAATTATAATATTTTTTGAACCTGTTTAATTGCTTCACTTTCACACAGAAAAATGAAGACACTAGAGCCCAGTGTTTCCCCTGCCATTATATTAGGGGGCGGGAAAAAAAATCATAAGGCTATTGTAAGAATAAATGAAACTTGTTTTTATGCTTTCAAATAATTAGACATGCTAAAACAGAGTTTGGTAACAATAAAACATAAGGTTGGAAAAAATAAAACATTTCATAGGGCCCTAAACGTGTAATTTTTGTTAAACTTTTAATAAATTGATTTTAAATTGTTTAAGTTTCATGATTTTAATTAATCAGACATGCTTTCTGATTAATAAAATTTGATTTAACCATTAAAAAGGAGTCCAGAAAAATTAGGGGAAACACTGAGAGCCTAAATGTTTACTTTAAAACTTTGTCTTTAATAAGCATTACAAATCCCAAACCTCTCTGAAGTCCACCAAACTCATCATAAGAGACACTTGTGCTGTTGCTTTTGCTTTTATATTCCACATGCACTATTTTTAATGGCCGTCTAAAGTAGAGATGTGTCAGATGTACTTCTCTGGCCATCAAATGTCTCTTTTGCTTTATAGGATGGTGATATATAGGATATAGGATGGATGCATTTCTTTGATGAGCTCTGTATTACAATCTGTATGAACAGCACCAGAAATAAAATCTACCAATGCTGAATCTGAGCCATGAGCAGTAGAATATTCTACTGTGCATATTCTACTGTGATATATACTACTCTGGAAACATCTTGTGACTTTCACCATAATGATTGCACACTGAAAATTCAGCTCTAGAAACCTCACTTCACACAGTTATAAACAAACTCCACAGAAATACAACATTGAAATGCCATCCTTCTTTAGCTCTCATTATGAATCCAAGACATAAAATATGACCTCAAATATCAACTCCCTCTGAAGTGACAAGTGGTAAGATACTGCTTATAACTCGTGTCCCAAAATGGCTGAGAGGAAGGACAGGAGTGTTACTACTGCAGAGGGGCGGCACTGCTCTCTCTGTCAAGATGACGCAATGTTTCGAACACAGCCTCAGTCGCTCAGACCTCCAGACAGGAGAGGGAGGGGCGAGACATTCTCTCTAACACCTCACACTGAGACGGGAGAGAGGGACATGAAAGTCTAATGAGTACCTGACAATATGGAGGACGTGAGGGGTAAATGTGCATCTGAAAGCCAAGAGGTTATGATTGCGACTAGGGGTGCTCCGATCAGGATTTTTGAGGCCGATCACTGATCGCCGATCACAGAAAGCAGTATGTCGATACCGATCACCGATAACAATCTTTTTAAAGTTTTCTTTTTATCATTTATAACTATTTATAGTGATACTCCAATCAGGATTTTTAGACATTTATTCAGGGCCTGAATTTCATTTTTGAAAATGGGGGAATTCCCCTCTTAGGTGACTCTTGTGAGAGGGGAAGCAGCACTGACTGTGCTTTCACACAGGAGTCTGCTACTGATCTGTGGCTGTTTACCACAAACAC